GATAAAATTGGGTATTAATTTTTGCAGAGATTTGCGGAACCTGAAAGACTCCCTGAAGCATCAAATTTTGAATGTACTAAGAACAGTTTTATGGTTCAACTAAAAATAAATTGTCGTTCGACATCAAGTGGTGAGTGGTGAAAATTAGTGAAAACATTTGCAGCAAGATAACAACAGCTATTGTAAAGTAAAACCAATAAATGCTAGAATAATCAGGTCAGACGGTGTTTGTGTAGAGAAACAACTGTTGTCCTGGACATGATATCTTCAGTTCTGATGATGAGTCATTGTTGACATAAAACATGAACTCTACTTCCACAGATGCTGTCTGACTTGGGTTTTTTCAGTATTTTCTTTTTTTTTTCAGATTTCCCTCATCTGCAGTAATTTTGCTTTTGTAACAGGGAAAATAGCGTGATTGAAATGGGTTTGAGAGGAAGAAAGTCAAGTCATAAACCAGAATTTTAACTTTACATCAGGCTGACTTTGGAATGATAGATTGGGCATAACAGATAACAACATAATGGATAAAACTGTCAACGAACAGTGGAAAGTAATCAAGCGTAAAGAGTCGACATTGACAGAGTGTTGCAGACTGGCATTTTCCAAGGTCCAGGATTACATGCTGAGGGAAATGCTAAAGCTTGGAGCAGCTGCCGCCAAGGCGCAATAGGGAAAGACCACAATCTAAGCTATTCCTACCAAACTGTAACAAAGATCTGATCAGTTGTCAGACAGTCTCAGTGCCTCAAAGTGAACAGAAATAGTTTCCTACCTAAGTAGAAAATGCCTTTTATTTTTGCAACTGTCGAGAAGCTCTGAAAAATGTGAAAATTCCAATTTCTTTTTCTCTCTGTACAGATATGATTTAGAACCTTTATGTGCTTACAGATGACTTTTATAAATAAAGTAAATTTTTGAAATAAAACAAAGTATTTGTTAGGATACAAGACCATGCAATAATGTTACATTCACTGCTCCTAAAGCAAAAATACTGAAGAATGCAAGAAATCTGGCATAAAGATTTTACGAAATGTTAGAAATGCACAGCAAGTTAGTATGTAGATGTGTAATTTAACAGCACTAATCAACAAGGAAAATAACAAATGATATAAAATGAGAGACAGAGCTTATAAAAAAATTGAGATCACAGACTCAGAAGATATAATGAATAACAAATAGATTCTGGTAGGGTTTTGCAGGACTTGGTACTGGGACTCGTGCTGTTTATGATGTACGTTAATGATTTTAATCTGAATGTTGGGATTATGATCAAGAAGTTTGCAGATGAACTGGTTATGTGGACAGAGCAGTGGCAAGTGAAATTCAACCTTGAAAAGTGTGAATAATACACTTGGGCAGGGCTAACAAGGCAAGGCATTACACTATGAATGGTAGAACCCTGGAAAGTACTGAAGATCAGAGAGCACTTGGTTTGCATATCCGTGAAGTTAGTAGGGCATGTGGATAATGTTGTTAAGACATCCAGGATACTTGCCTTTATTGACCAAGGCATCCAACACAAGCAGGTCAGCTATGGTGGAACTGTTTAAAATACTGGTTAAGCCATAACTGAAGTACCATGTGCAGTTCTAGTTGCCACACGAGGAAGGGTGTGATTGCATTAGAGATTTATCAAGATGCTGCCTGGGTTGTATGCTCTGAACTATGAGGAAAGATTGGATGGGCTGGGACAAAAACAGAAAGCGCTGAAAAAAACTCAGCAGGTCTGGCAGCGTTTGTGGACAGAAAGCAGAGTTAACGTTTTGGGTTCAGTGACCATTAGTTGGGGTTAATTTCCTTGGAATCGCAAAGGTTGAGAGTGGACCTCACGCAGATGTATAAGATTGAGAAGCATAGATAGGGTGGATAGAAAGACACCTTTTCCATTAATAGATGGATCAAGAACAAGGGGAATGGATTTTATCTAAGAGGAAAGTTGGGAATATTTTTTTCACCCAGAGGGAATTGACTGCCTAAAAGGGTATTTGTGTCAGAAATTCTCATAATATTTGAGCAGTATTTTACTTCTGTTGCAGGCCATGAGCTGGCAAATGGGATCAGTGTGGTCAGATAGATCTTTGACTGGTGCGTAAGCATGATGGGCTGAATGGCTGATGTCTGTGCAATAAAAATCTATGAGCTATAAAGAAAGCGATGAGTTGCAAGGAAAAGGCCTTTTAGGGATATTGAAGACAATACCAGAAGTTTTCAAAAATAGCAAAAGAAATTGTTAAGAAATACTAAAGTACACGAAATAAGGGGGGAAACGTTATAAATTAAGGGAAGAAATGAGCTATATTTTTACTTTTATCAAATTCAATGGAGATAATATTGATCAGGATTTTATTTCAGAAAGAACGGTAAGATGATTGTCCTTATCCAGCAGATCCAAGTTCTTACTGCCAGTGTGAATAAGGTAAGTCAACAGGTGCTGTGGGAGCAGGTAGTGGAGAAAGTGAACAGGGATGTGAAACATGGTTGTCATGGGAAGCAGTATTTCAAGAGGGTAAATACTTTTCTCTGTACAAGGAGTTCTGAAAGTTGTTGCTTGACTTGTGCCAGAGTTAAGCATGTTTCACAGCTAGACAAACTTAAGAGTAGGATGGGGAGGATCCAGCTGTGGTCCATGTAAGAACCAATGACATAGGTAGAACACTGATAAGACAGTTTGAGGAGTTAGGGGTCCAAATTAAAATGCAGAATCTCAAAGTTCATCTCTAGATTGTTATTGTGGCATATGTCAATTGGTGTTGGGGTAACCAGATCACAACCTTAACGTTGTGGTTGAATGAGCGAGATGAGACATGGTATTTGATTCACAGGACATTGCCACCAGTACTGGGGAAAGAGGGAGTTGCTTCTTTGAAATGGGCACTGTTGAAACAGGTAAAAATTGAAATTGCTAGAGAAACTTAGCAGGTTCTAGTGGCATGTGTGAACAGAAAACCGCATTTTGAGACCAGTGACCCTTGTTCAGAACAGAGTTAAACTCGACTTGAAGTGTTAACTGTTTTCTCTCCACAGATGCTGCCAGATCGACTGAGTTTCTCCAGCAATTTCTGTTTTCAATTTTTCAGATCTCCAGCATCTTCAGTTCTTTGTTTTATTGGACCAAAACAGAGCTGGGGTCTTGGTGAATTGAATATCCGGGCAGTTGATTACGCTTTAATGAAGGCAAGGGAAGGTTTAGGAAAGGGTAAATTCAAAGGCTATAAGAAAACCATCAAGGCTGTGGAGCAGTAGTTTAGGAAAAGTCAAAAGTCAGGAAGGATCAAAGATCTGAACAAAGTATAGCGACAAAAGTAATCTCAAGGAAAAACATAAAAGCTAAAGGCACTATATTTAAATTCATGAAGTACTGGAACAAAATAGATAAGTTAATAGCTTAGTTAGAAATTAATGAACTTGATATAAGGTAGAGATTTTGCTGCAGGGTGACCAAGATTGGGAATTGATTATTCTGGGACACTTGACCTGAAAGTGATTAAAATGAAGAAGAATGAAGGTCATCTGGATAAATAGAGTGGGATAAAGATGATACAGGAAGTATCTTAGCTCAGAATGCAAGTTGTTTTCATGATCCTGGAACAAACTGGCATCTTTGTTGTAATCTGGCTAGGGCCAATAATTTTTATCTTTAAGACAAAGTGTGAGACCTGGGGGATTAGTAAGATGATAAGGCTCACGATTCCTTTCATTTTTCCACCTTCCCCCTGGTCTTGAAAACTGTCTCTCAGCTTCTGTCTGTTGAATCTGCCACCAGTTTGACAGATGGTGGGATGGGATGAGGTAAGGAGGGTGATTGGGGGTTATTCCTGAAATGTTTGCACACCCTCTAGTTCTTAGAGGTATAGGAACAAGTTGGTAATAGAATTTGAAGACATTCTGTGCCCTAAAAGAGATGTAAATATTTAATATTGAAATACTGGACAGGGAAATTAGATCCAAATATGCAGTTAGCATCATGTAGCGCAACTTCAATGCATTGAATTTCAAGAGGCAGTGATCAACATGAAGAGATGACTGTAAACAAATGATATCAAGCACAGGGAGATGACGAGGAAAGTACTGAACCTACCAGTTGGTAAACCAGCAGATAAAGCTTCTTCTTAGCTTAGTCTGAACGCAGGTCAATGAATCTGTCAAATATCCAAATTTATGATAAGGTGGTATTGGAGTAGAGCTTCTGAGCCTGGGGCATATCCACTCTGTCTGATTTTCTTTTCGTTTGTTTTACTTTGTTTTTCTGTCTCTCATTTTTTGGCTGTCATACTTTATTTGCCTCTTGTTGATGAGCGTAGACTCATGGCAGTTGGCATGCGGGCCCAGTCCGGACTCGTGATAGTCGACGAGTGGGCCCAGTGTGGACCTGTGGCAGCATCGGAGAGAGCTTGGGTTCCTGGCAGCTTCTGCATCAATGAGATGGTCCTACTGCTGACTCGTGCATGCTGTGGCGGAAGCAAGTTTGGGTTCCCAGCAGCGTCTGCATCCAGCGCAGATTCATGGAGGCGAGTTTGGGCACAGTATGAGATCCTGCAGCAGCAGCTTCATCAGCGAGGTGGGCTTGTAATGGACTCCTGGTGCTTGCGGAGTTGAGTTTGGACTGGTTTGACCAGTTGAGTTTGACCAGGCGGCATTGTTGTTTGCATTGGTGAGATCTGGTGAGGGCATCAGTGGAGGTGAAATGGGGTCGATGAGTGCGACTTTCATTCCAGCAGCGGCAGCTTGGTGAAGGGACTTGAGCCTGGCCACCAGGCCCAAGGCAAAGCACTTAATGAGAAGGACTATAAAAATTGACCACTTTTTTTTTGGATTTCTTTATTCTTCTGCCTTTATATTCTATGTTTTGGTTTATTTTTCTGTGTTTTAAGATGGTGCTGGAGAGTGGCGACACTACACAACACTTCGCACTGTATTTTGTAACAAAATACACGTGATGATAAATCAAATCATATCCTTGTCTGGAAATTCACTTTGAAATATCTGGAGAGGAGGGAGAGTAATTATCTACAAAAATTTGCTGTAATGACCAACAATAATCTCATGAATTGGACTCAACTTTCTGTCATCTTGCCATGCAATTTGAAGCACTCGTTGGGCAATCAGGAGAGAAATAATCCCTAGAGCCATTTAACTGGCTGCAAAATGTGTAGCATGATTTTCTTTATAGCTGGTTGTTGATCTTAACCTGGTTATGAGGAAGAGATGCCAATTCACAGGGATTACATCTGACAACCACTTGCAGTGAATTATTTGCATGAATGGACCATAGGACTTGAATGTTGAAGGGAAGCTTCATTTACACAATAGGTTTCACAACCCCTCAGTCACAGTTCTGTCCAGGCCGCGTGACAGTGCAGTCACAATGCAGTGAACTCATGGATATCAAAATTCTTGTTCACAAGTGAATGGCTATTCTGGTGGAACATGTGGAGAGGGAATAATGAGAGCGCTGAGGTGCAAAGTATTCTTCTAAAGTTTCTGTCTTATTCTCAGTAGAAGAAACAAAAATATTACAGAAGTATGGGAATCCAGGGACTTAATAAAAATGAGGGACGTAAGGATAAAAGTAGTAGCAAAGAAATAATTGTGGAAAATATAATGGGGCTAAACGCTGTCAAATCTCCATGACTAGGTTTGCACCCCAGGCTTTTAAACAAGGGCGGCTGTAGAGGTCTTAAGAGCAGAGATGCTGAAATCTATTATTAGAAATATGATAATATGATGGACAGTTTCAACTCCGAATCATGTAAGGTGTGAATGGGGGAAATAATGGACGTACTTTTGGAAAATTTAAAAAGCTTTTTGATAAGGAGCTGCACAAGAGCTTGTTACTAAAATTAGAACTAATGATTTTGCAGACAATAAATTAGCATTGTTTCGTCGATGAACCAAAGGTTAGAAATAAATGGAACATTTTAGGTTGGCAGGCTCTAACTCCTGGGGCCTCAGCTATTTACAGTCTACATCAGTGACTGAGATGGGCATACTGCGTGTGATGTATCCAGTTTTCTGATGATACAAAGTTGATTAGAAATATAAACCGGAGGATGCAAAGAGGCTGCAGAAGGATTTAGACAAGTGAAACGAATGTGTAAATTGGCAGATAGAGTACAATGTAGAGAAATGTGAAGTTAACCACTTTGGTAGGAAAAATTAAAAGCAGAGCATACTTTTAAATGTTAAGAGACTGAGAGGTGTTCACATTCAGGGGGTGGGGTGGGGTTGTATGTACCTTGTGCAAGAATCACAAAGTTAATATGCAAGTATGGCAAACAAATAGGAAATCAATGGTATGTTAACCTTAAACAGGGTTTGGAATAGAAGAGTAAAGTTTAAAGCTTTTGAGAAGACTTGTAGCTTGGGTTGTGGATGAGGTTGTTGATTTGTTTTCTGAGCTGGTAGGTTGGCTTGCAGATGTTTTGTCACCATACCAGGTAACATCATCAGTGCGCCTCTGATGAAGCGTTGTTGGTCTGTCCTGCTTGTTATTTAGGTGGTCCAGTTTGATGTGGTGGTTGGCCTCATTTCTGGTTCTGCTTCATAGTATTTGGTATATGGGGTCTATTTCCACATGTTTGTTGATGAAGTTCCAGGTTTAGTACCAGGCCTTGAGGAACTCCCGTACGTGTCTTTGGTCGGCTTGGCCTAGGGTGGTTACGTTGTCCCAGTCGAATTGGTAGCCTTCTTTTCCCGAATGTATGGAAATGAGTGTTAGTTGGTCGTGTCTCTTGGTAGCTAGTTGGTGCTAGATGGCGGTCGTGCAGAAATGTGTAGCTGTGGTTGTACATTAGCCATGATTTTATTGAATGATTGAAGATATTTGAGTGGCCATATGGCCTAGTCCTGCTATCCCTTATGTTCTGATGAAATGGACTTTCAAAATCTGGAATTCTGTCACTCTGAAAGCTGGAGATGAGTTCAAAACTGCAACACCAAGTGACTGATTTTTGTAAATTAAGTATGTTAAGTATGCAAAACCTGCGTCAGCTATATTTGCATTTGTTGGTGGAACAGATTTGAGGGCTGAATGGTCTCTTCCTATTCCTATAGTGGCCACTGGGGATAAAACTCTAGGGTCACGGATGGTTTTGAATTAAATTTATTTCTGCATTTCTGACTGCATTTTTTAATATATTTCAGGTCCTGCTGGAACAGCAAAAGATACGTAAGTACTAGTTTTTACTATTAATCTTGAATTATCGTAGGACCCCCTGGTGTACAGATATTATTTTACCATAAATAGGTGATATTGCAAATTATCGTTTTTCTTTTCTAAAGTAACACACAAAATAAGCAACAGTTGATAAACAGAGTTTTAATTCCCCACAGGAGAAGCCCATTTCAGGTTTGAAACACACACTTTACACACAGGTAATGATATGAAATACACACGTAGCCCTCAGCTGATCTGTTTGATACAAGAGAGAACTTTTACTATAACCATTATGAGGATCTCCACTGAGCCTGATAACTTCTCAAGGGAAATTTAAGCTTAGTTGTTAGCTGAAAGAACATATAACATGATTTTATGTTTTAGAACTTTTACTGTGAAAAATGCAAAAAAATGGATTAACTAAACACTTTTTGTAGGTAGCTCATGCTTTAAACTAGCAAACTAGCAAACAGAATTTGTCTCCATCTATTTTTAATGACAGTCAAAAACTTCAGTTTTGTTGCAATACTTTCACTTTCTTGCCCATTCTGAAAATTCCATACAAACTTTTATTTCATACACATTGTTTGTTTGTTTGAAAAAAGTCATTTATATAAGGGTATGTGCAAGAAATACAAAAAGGTTATTGTATCACAAAATCTAATTTTTAATTAAAATAATTATTAAAACAATCCTAGTGTACTTAGAATAATCAATGAGTCCAACCTGCATACATACACTCGTCCATGCATCAGCTTCTGTTAAATGTTCATACTGAAAAGGACACAAATAATTTCAGGATCTGACATAGCCAGCAGCTGAAGAATTGTAGCCTTTTCCAACAGTAAACTTGACACAAGATTGTTCATTTGTGATGATGCTCTGCTTTTGCCAAAAGCACATTTTATCAAGGAAAATCGGTTTAACAAATACCTTTTCTGGCTGGTTTAATTTTCTTTTTCATTTATTCATGGGATGAGGGTGTCATTGGCCAGCATTTATTGCCCATTTCTAATAGCCCAGTGGGCAATTAGGAGTCAGACATGTTGCTGTGGATTTGGAGTCACATGTAGGCCAGACCAGGGAAGGATAGCAGATTCCTTCTCTAAAGGGTGTTAGTAAACCAGATGGGTTTTTCCAACAATCGGTTTTATGGTCATCATTAGACTCTTCATTACCAATTTTTTAAAAAATTGAATTCAAATTCCACCGTCTGCTATGGCAGGATTTGAACCCAGGTCCCCAGAATATTTCCTGTGTTTCTTGATTAACAATCCAGCTATGATACCACTAAGCCATTCCTAATGTTCTGTGTACCCATAAAAAGTATGCTTTCCTAAGACAGCCATACCAGACAAGACTTATAAATAGGATACCAATTTCTTAAGATCTGAGTTATCCTGCAGCAAATCCAAAGTGATTTAAGGCTCCTAAGGACTTTCCTTCCTTTTCCTTTCCCCAGTATGTATTTTCTCGGACATTTCTCTCTCTAGTTCCAACTAGGTGAACCCTCCAGCCTTGTTTTACTCCTTGCAAACTTGCTCTTCAAACTGAGTACAAACTCCTACCCGTATTCTGTTTGGTAAATATTGGGGTCAAAATTTTCTCCTTGTAATATGGTAGCTCGACAGATACTCTCTTCTTCTCCTCCCAGTTGGCTGCAGACTCCACAAGACCAAATACAACCCCTTCTGTCTGTGATATTCCTGTATGCGAAGCCTGAAGTCTGACCTCAGCAAATCAGCTTTGTTGTAAGGCACGTTGGATGACCCTTTTCAGTTTCCTAAATTTAAATGTCTAATAGCAGTCTATAACATTCTGATAAATCAAACGATATAGCATAATCTATAAATTTCAGAATTATATCAACAGGATAATACGTGATTTGAAGCAGTGTCATTTTTATTTCAGCAATATCACCATCATATAGTTAACGATTGTGTTGAATAACATTAAAGATTCTCACCCACAGCCCCACCCAATCACTCATCCATATTGATGTTCTCTCAACAAGTATTCCGTCTACCCTTTTCTCTACAGCATTTCAGCTGCCATCTTGAAAATTCTCTTTGAAAGATGAAGAATTATACTGAGAACACCCCAGCCTAAAAGGGAATTACAGCAAGAAATGGCAGAGCTGAGATGGTGTTAATGACATACCTCAGTGTAAAGTTGAAGAACATCTTGTGAAAATAAATTGTAGATACCACACAGCAACAAATTATTTACATTTTAATGTTCATATAATGTTTTGATTTGCAAATTTTCAATTTTTTTGTTGTTTTTTGGTGCTACAACCTCATCCTGACTGCTCTTGAGAAAAAGGTGTGATGCTCATGTGATCTTTTGACTGCTAAAACAGCCATTGCTTTTTCTAAAAAAAAAACTTTGTCGAGTAAAGGAGAAATACATCGTTGCTACTCATCCATTCATCAAAGAAGAAATTAGCCTGTCCTCCATAACTACTTATTTGCTTTTCACAGTTCAATACAAACTCCAGTCTGCTCTCTCTCCTTCCCGATCAACTTTCCTTACTGGACCCCCTAAGTATCTGCTCCAATGACCGTCAGCTACACTCTTTTATTTACAGAGCATGTCCTGGTACGTTCTTAAGGTCAGTGTGACCGGCAGGCTGGGTGTATGGGGGAAAGGGCTGATAGGAAGGTCAGTAATGGAAAGGCAGGGAATGACAACAGGTTGGGGAAGGTTGCAGGTTGGAGAGGGACTGACAGCAGAGTCATTAACTCCTTGACTTGCTCTAATTGCACTGTTACATTTCTGGAAACGCTGGAACTGCCTTCCTAACTGCACTGTGGTTTTCTCTACACCCCAAGGGCTCCAGCAGTTCAAGAAGACAGCTCACCACCACCTTCTCCAGGACAATTGGGGATGGGTGGTAAATGCCAGCTCAGCCAGCGATATTCACACTTCATGAACAGATTTTAAAAACATGTAATGAATCTGAGTGAGGCAATTGAATCATAACCATTACGACTTTGGGGCTGGAGGAATCTAATTCAAATTCCCTTATGGGTAAGGAATGTGGTGCTTTAATTGCACACTTAAATTGTAGTACCCATGTTTGCTCTAAACTTTTTAAAAGGTATGTAATTGGATAACTACCTTTAGATACTAATGTCCTTTAGAACAACCACAAGAAACAAAAATATTTGTGTTGGGTTACGCCTCAGTGGGATAGCATGCTATAAATCAAGCCCTGCTATTGCTGGAGTCATCATGAAAGTAAAGGATTCTAAAATGTCAACAATATTGTCCAATTTACTTAACTTTTAGACCCAGGTTTACAGAAAGCATGGACCACGTTTCTGTGCTGAACAGGAATTGCTGTTTCTTACAAATGAATACATTTTAACTACAGATAACAGATATGACCCATCGACACAACTCTTTTGGTAAAAAATCTAACTCCCTTACAAAGCTCCCCCTCTAAACACACAGACAGAAAAACTGTTGGTGTTACAGCAGAGGGAAAAGTCGGGGAGGCTGTACAGTAGTCCTTGTTCACAGGGTTTTCTCAGATTATCCTGTTGCTGATCAGATCATTGTTTCTTGATCTTCCTTATCCTTTTGTCATCGATAAGAGCTGGTGACTGAAGTGTTAGTAAAACTTTGGGTCTAGTGATCATAATTCTATTAGTTTTAAAATAGTTATAGAAAAGGATAGGCCTCCATAACAGTCAAAAGTTCTGAATTAGAGTGAGGCAAATCTTAATGGTACGTGACAGGAACTTTCAAAACTTGATTGGAATGGATTCTTTGCAGGTAAAAGGACGACTGACAAGTGAAAGGCTTCAAAAGTGTGATAACCAAAGAGATTCTACAAGTACCTTAAGAGCAAATAGGGAGAGAATAGGTCTCATCAAAGATCAATGAGGTCGTCTATATTTTGAACCTCGGGAGATGGGAGAGAGACTAAATGAATATTTTGGATCAGTTTTTATTGTGGAGAAGGAAATGGAGGCGAGAGAACTCGGGGGAAGTAAAAGTTGATGTTTTAAAAACAATTCACAGTACAGAACAACAAGTGCTAGAGGTCTTAGATAACATAAAAGTGGATAACTCACTGGGACCTGATCAAGTGTATCCCAAGGAAGAAATTGTAGGTCCCCTAGCAGAGATATTTTCTATCATCTACAGCCACAGGTGAGATGCCGGAGAACTGAAGGCTGATGTGCTTTTGCTTAGGAAAGGCTGTAAAGAGAAGCCTGGAAACTATAGACATGTGAATCTGACATTGGTGGTGAGTTGGAGGTGGTTCTGAAAGATAGGATTTACATGCATTTGGAGAGGCAAGAACTGATTAAGGATTGTCAGTGTGGCTTTGTGTGAGGGAAATTGTATCTCACAAACTTGATTGAGTTTTTTGAGGAAGTAACCAAGAAGATTGGGGGCAGAGCAGTAGATGTTGTTTACAAGGACTTTGGTAAAGCCTTTGACAAGGTTCCACATGATAGACTAATTAGTAAAGTTAGATCACATGGGATTCAGGGAGAGCCTCCCGATTGTATACAAAGTTGGCTTGATGGCAGGAGACAGTGTTCTGGTGGAGGGTTGTTTTTCGCGCTGGAGGCCTGTGACTACTGATGTTCCACAGGGTTTGGTGCTGGGTCCACATTCAGTTTATCATTTATATAAATGATTTGGATGAGAATTTAGGAGACATGGGTAGTAAGTTTGCAGATGACACCTAAATTGGTCTTATAGTGGATAGTGAAGAAGGTTATCTAAGATTACAAAGAGATCCTCATCAATTAGGTCAATGGAGTGAGGAATGGCAAATAGAGTTTATTTTGAATAAATGCAAGGTTTTGCATTTTCATAAAACAAGTATGAGAAGGACTTGTGTAATTAATGTAGGGTCCTGGGTAGTGTTGTAAAACAGAGCGACCTAGGAGTTCAGGTATATAATTCTTTGAAATTTGCATTACATATCAACAGGGTGGTTAAGTAGGCATTTAGCATGCTGGCCTTCATTGCTCAGACCTTTGAATATAGGAGTTGGGATGTCATGTTGAGGTTGTACGGGACATTGGTGATGCCTCTTCTGGAGTACTGTGTATAGTTCTGGTCACCCTGCTGTAGGATGGATGTTATTAAATTGGAGAGGATTCAGAAAAAATAACCAGGATATTGCCCAGAATGGAATGATTGCGTTATAAAGATAGGCTTTTTTCACTGGAGTGTAGGAGGTTGAGGGGTGACCTTTTTAGAGGTTTATAAAATCATGAGAGGCATCGATAAGGTGAATAGCAAGAGTCTTTTCCCAAGGGTGGGGGACTTCAAAACCTGGGCGCATATTTTTAAGGTGAGAGGAGAAAGATTTAAAAAGGACATGAGAGGCAACTAGAGTCATTCGTATGTGGAATGAACCGCCAGAAGAAATGGTGGATGCAGGTAGAGTTAAAACATTTGATCAACATTTGGATAAGTACTTGAATAACAAAGGTTTTGAGGGATATGGGCTAAAAGCAGGCAAGTGGGACTAGTTTGTTTTGGGAACATAGTCGGCGTAGACTAGTTGGACAGAAGAGTCTGTTTCCATGCTGTATGGCTGTATAATTGGCTACTAGTCCATAGACCATTCAGCTACTTGTTGCTTGCTGAAGCTCCATCCATAAAGGGTTCATTGGCCCAGCTCATCTGCAACCAAACCTTCCTCCACTGCTTGCACAAACAGCTCTGTAAACAGTATTTACAATAAGGTTCATGAAACGTGCTTTTAAAAAGTACAGCAATACTTGGGTTTTAAACCAGTCCTATTCCCTTTTCAGTCGACAATCAAAAGTATAGGAAAATGAAAAGATACGGACTTCATAGTTCCTTTGACTGATTTTTGGAATTACTGGAATTGGTCCTATGTCTTCATGGATCAGATATGAACAAATTTATTAGATGACATTCATTACAAGGACTAATTAATTATTTTACACTATGAAGCTAACAAGTTCTTGATTGGTGATAACACACTACAGCATTATTGTCTTCTGTGTTGAGCATGCAGGGGAAGGTTTTGACTTCTAAAATACAGTCAATCATTTATAATGTCTGTATTTACTAAATTTCAAATAAATTTCCAGCTCAAGTTTTTACAAAACTTCGTGAAGCAAAACTGGCACAAATGTTGGGAATAGAAAATAAGCAATGGGTACAAAGTATTTTTGAAAAGTACAAAGTCTTAGTCTTGAAGGACAGTGGTCTTAAGATATTGCTTGGTATATGGTCAGTCATTGTCATTTTTGATGTGCATTTGGGTTTTATTAGACGGGATATTTATTTAATCATTGAAGAAGACTGAGTCTGACCAACAGGTATTCAAATATGAAATAAGTATAAACTGAAAGAAATACAAGTCACTTTTTGAAGTTTTGAAGGATTTGAAAAATTGTCAGTGAGCAAAGATATGAAAATGGCATGATATCAAAGGACATGACTTCTTTTCAAAGAAGCAGTTAATAAATTCTGTGGATGTTCATAGCTGTGAAGCATGGATCATTCCAGTAAGTTAAATAATGCAAATATAGTGGGCAAATTACCATTTATTTAGTGTTTTCTCAAGTATGAGTATCAAACAGATCAATGTGTTGTGCTGGCAGGACAGCATAGATAGTGAGGGTTTATGCCTCTACCATCTTTCCTTAAACTTAGATGGAGGGTTATGGACAAACAGGAGGAATATGGGACTAAGAGTGACTGTTATTTGAAAACGTCAGGAATGGTCCTATTCTGTGGTGTAAGTTATTCTCCTGATTTCTGGAGTTTGCTCTCCTTCATAATTTCTTCAAATAAACCATAATTTTTGCTCTGTTTATCTTGATTTGGGAGCTTACTTGCATTGTTTGTTGATCTGTTTCACTGCTTGCAATAAAACCAAATACTTGTAAATTGACAGTGTCTTTCTGTGTCGTAACCCTATCCTGCTAAGCCAGGTATTCATATGTCAGTGCCACTACATCATAATCAGTTTTACTGTCACAGTAGTTACTGGGTAGAATTAAAAATTGTGCAACTCTGGAGAGAGACTGTTTGGGTCATTGAGCTTGTATTGATTCTTTAAAAGACCAATTGGTCCCACTTGCCTGCTCTCTTTCTGAAGCTTAATATTTTGCTTTTCAGTTTTCTTTAAAAAGTTGTCTTCTACTATTCTTTCAGACTTGCATTCAAGATCACAACACCTCACTGTGTACTTTTGTGACCTTTATA